TCAATGGACTCCTTGATGCTCTTGAATGATCTTGCAATTAAGGTCTTTCAGGTCTCTAGCTAAAAGTACATGATCCTGAACTGGGTCCTATAGCATTTGGAGACGATGCATGTAGGATGCTATAGAAAAAACGACCACCATTTATTTTGTATTTTTTCAGAGCGGTCAACTAAAGGTGTATTGTTTCCAATCAGCGAACACAAAGCCCGACGGACTCCCTCCACAGTAAGTACTTTCTCTATGTTACGACCTTACTGTGTCATCACTAGTGGCACATGTGAATATGATGGTCAAGGAGTGTTCCCTTTACTTAATGCTTTAACATTTCCTGGAGTGGCCAATCACACCAGTCTGATTAACTTATTATCATGTCATAAAATGAATGTAAACTTTAATTTTTTGCATTTGTTAAGTTGTGTTTTAAAATTTATCATCATTTGATTTGCTGCTTTAGAAGCAAGAAGAAATCTGGGGCAAGTCTCATGTCACAGTCTCTTTATGGACAGTCAGTGTTTTGTCTTGTCCGTACGAAAGGTTCCACAAGCTACTGCAAGATGAGACTCACCCAGATTTTTTTCTCGTTTGGGAAGTAGCAGATGGAATGTGTGTCAGCCCAATGACTGATGCACTGAACTCTGATAAGGCAGTGTTGGTTCAATCTGGGTTATCCCTGGCCCAGGCTAATCCTCAAAAAAAAAAAGGTGACCCTTTGGTATGATTACCCATAGTTCTTAGTGCACGAAACTTTAACAACGCTCATAAAAACATACAGAAAAGTTCAACTAAAATCATCAAACTTGGTGTACACTATGCCCAGGGGTGTTATTGCCATTCTCAGCAGGAGTGCAACTGGTTTTCACAGGCAGGCAAAACTATTTGAACTGCAGAACATTTTTATTGTAAAAACTTTCCACTAGATTGTCGAACCAGCCAGGCAAAATCATCCTCACAGCTGGTCAATTTGCGCAGTGCCTGGCCCTAACAAAACCCTGGTATGCCAATATTGCAAATATTTGGCTTTCCTTGTACTTTATGGACTGTGTTAGGTCTGCATGGTATTTTGGTAAAAATATGTACGGCCACCACCTTTTTTCTTACAGATGATTACACTTGACTCTCATAGTGCCTCTTTTCACCCACAAATGAGGCCAGCCTACTGGTAGCACATCCTGACCAATCTTTGTAGGCTTTAAAATATCTGTGATGTTCTAGCACCCTGGCAAGGGAGAGTTGTAATATTTCTAGTTACTTCATACAGCAAGGACTAGAGTTCTGAGCCATTTGGCTCCCCCAATCCAGTGCAACTGAAACAGACTTATCATTGTTATCATCAATTTCATGACCATTGAAGCAAGTTACTCATTGTATCAGGTATCAGCGAGCAGATATTGAGCTGCAGATAGTTCATACCGAGGTTTTGTCAGAGGCCACATTGAACAGCTTGTCAGAAATGCCACAGATACTATCAAAGGTGGGAATGCTGACTAACACTATACATGAAGGATAAGCAAATTTTGATGATTTTATTATCGGCTAGCAATCCATACGCATGAAATATATATTTTTTCTTTTTTTATAAAATGAAATGATTGCAGAGTGCTATGTTACTGTAAATACTTCAAATGGACATGATTCAGGATTATAGTGTTTTCAATATTCCTTTTTTAAACATCTAACTCTGCCTTTTGTGTATCTCCACAAAAAGCTACAAATTTGCAGTCGTGTGGAGGATGTACTTCAGTAATTTTAAAATGGCAACCCGACATGATAGAAAAATTATCAGGTCTTGAAATGGAGTATTAAATATTGAATACTGACTAAAAGTATCTTCGATGAATATTCAATATTTCAATTTTCTAATCTAAGAATAATAAGGGACATTTGTGCAGAAAAATAGCTAATGAATGTCAAGCTCTGAAATAGAGAATTATACTTGAGGTTATAATAATTATTTGTTAGTTAGGAATTAGTGGCTGTCTCATTTTTTCCCCCTTAGGAAGAGGAAGAAGCCTATAGAAAAACTTTAAAGTAAGTTGTTAAATGTCTTTGTAGCTCCTTAGTTATTATCACATATGGCACTGGCTGGAAACCCCACCCTAAACTTTTTATTTCCTTAATTATTTATTTTAACCTTTTTTTTTTTCCTGTGTCTTTGCCATCCTCATTAATTGTTTTCTGTTTATAATTGCCTCTTTAGTGCTTACATGTACCAACTGTAGTAAATTACAATTTTCTTGTTTTAATTGATAATGCACCGCAATCAATTCAATTTGTTTGTCACTCTGTATGGAGAAGGGATGAAGATGTCATCATTAATTTCTAAGTTAGAGCCTGATAATTACAGGAGAGTGCATTTTATTTACTGAAATATTTTATTTTTTCAGTACCACGGACCTCCTAACAGCCGTTCATAACAGTACAGGTATATGAGAAAGATTTGGAATTGTAATTGAAGGGGCGAGTGCAAAACCATGCTAAGTGACGATTTGGGTGAAAAAAAAAATTTTCGCGAAAAGGCTTGAATTTTTGCATGAGGTCTTCAATGTAATAGAAAAACGCGGCCCTGTATTTTTGTCGCTGGTTTTTGCTTCGTTTTCGAGTTATATCGTATGCAAAAATACTTGGCTTTTCCTAGCCATGTCTTTAGGAGTTTATTTGTTGCACAGCAAACAGGCAGACTGTTTATAGTGTATGAAGTCAAAATCAAATC